CACAATTTCTTAAACATTTTCATGGCTTCACCAATTCAAATCACCATTTCACAAATCTCGAAACAAGGAGAAAGACAGAGAAAACTCAGAACTCATGGGGAAAGCACAACACAACTTGGAATTCATATATAAAATCAAAGCCATACAAACTATAATAAGTAAATAACTTATCTCTAAATTTCTCCCCAAGAACACTCATCGAAGTTCCTCTGAATCTTTTCCTTTCTTTACAACACACAGAATTCCTCTTCGAAGTAGTAAGGAGGAAAAAATTTCTCACTTTCTCTCCGCTCTTACAATTTCTTGAAGAATTCCTCACAGTTATACGCTATAGCAAGCTTTCTACGCATTAATGGATCATTTCTAACTTCCAGGACTCCAAAAGTCTCCATATTTTTGGCTAAAATGTTCTCTTTAAAGATGTGGATGAGTTTTCCCAAGAGTTTCTTACGCACCCCTCCATCCACATTCAGTGCATCTGTTGAGAGACCGTCGATCCTGCCGTCGGCGGCCTCGATGGTGCCGTCGGCGACCTTTCGCCCTTTTGGAGAATTTGTCCTGTAGCATCGGGAAAAGCTCGCCGTCGGCGGCCTCGATGGAGTCGTCGACGCCCTAGTGCAATTCTCCACATTTTGGTCCTTTTTGCTCCAAATACGCTCCTTTTTGCATCTTTTTGCTCCATTGACCCTAATTCATCATTCCTGCAAAAAAACATCAAAAACGCCTTTCTTTAAAGTGCAATATCATTAAAAACAGTATAAAAAAGGTATGAAAATCTCAACGTATTTTTCTTTGGTCAGTTAGCTCAAAATTAATATCAATACGGTCGCATGTGCTCCACAGAATTAATTAGCGTTTAAATTTATACGATTTGAGAATGGTATGCCGTTTAAGGTCAAAGTTAACTTAAATAGTTCTTTTTTTTAGAAGCATGCCAAATTATTTCTAAAAATCTGTTAAACCCTTATGTTTTAAAAATCAAATCCAAGATAATCAAGCTACTCACGCTCTCAATCAGGACGCCTTGTTTATAGGGTAAGGTTGCAAGTCCCATCTAACTAATCCGATTCTCTTCGCAAGGATTGAAGTCGACGAGTCTAGTAATTTTAATAATGTCCAAATAAAATTTGTAAGTCCAAATCATTTAGTATAATTCTCCTTATTAGGACTAGAGTTGACAGGGCTAAATATTGAAAATATTAAATTAACGAATTTTAAATTAACTTCAACATAAATATTTCGAATGCTAAGATTCCCCGATGATGGTTGTGTTGATCGAAAATTTCAATTGGAGTGGTTAACTTTTAAAATTAAATCAAGATTTTCAAGCCACAATTCTCAAAGCAATTAAATCAATGCATTCAAGGTAAATGTAATCACTTAAAAGATTTTAAACAAAGTTAAGGGGTTAGCAAACTTTTAATTGATTTAAGCTCACAAATAGCTAACGTTATATTGAGTATATTAAAATATTCACATTGAAAGTAATCTCATGCCAGTAAGGATGTGATTCAAGTCCTCTATTTGTATGGTTTGACCCAAATGCTTCTCAAAATTAGTAGTTATGATTAGAGAAGTCTGACCGGGTTGTTAATGTCGAATGAAACTATTATGTGTTGTGAAAAAACGATGACAGTAACGAGAAAAATATGAAATGAGAAAATTACACACACAAGATACAAATTTACGTGGTTCGACAAATTGCCTGCATCCACAGAGTTGTGGAGAATTTTATTGCTTGAAGAATTACACATCACTTCGATTATAAGAACTCAACTCCACTTGTCAATCTCTCCTTCTTCATCAGATTTGCTGCAACCCTCAAGCCTTCTACCCGGAACTGCTTTAGCCGTCGCTAGCTTCTAGTTCTCTTCCTTGATTGCAGTCGCTCGCAAGCCTTCTCCCTCGGTTTATGTTGCAAGAGGTGAATGCTTTCTATCGATAAACAGGAAGGCAGGGTCCTTTTATTGTGAAATCGGGAGAAGCGAGATTCTGAAGGAAAGGCGCATAACAAGGCTTTACAAAGGAAAGAATATAAAGAATTAAAAAATTCAAATAACTGCCATAGATGCAGAAACCGCCAAAGGAGAAGCGGACTAAGCTCCACAATACTCAACATTATGTTGCGGTTGCTACCGTAGCTCATATGTTTTCGAATGGCTTTCTACCCTTTGAATTGTGAACCATAGGGTAACAATGTGATCTGACACAAGAATCAAAGCAATGCAACACTAACAACTCTCACGAACATAAGTATCTACATTTCTAGAGGTAGGCGATCTTTCCCAATTCCTACAATTTAAGAGGCAGAAAATCTCTCATAAACCCTAAATCTAAGAGTCACAACCATATTCTCATGCATAAACCCAACCCTAAACATAATAAGTCTTTATACTCAATAATAATAATAATAATAATAATAATAATAATAATAATAATAAAAGACTAACTTGGCCGTAGGCGTACAAAGATTAACTTGCCCGTAGGCGTACAAAAACTAAATTTCCCTTAGGTGTACAAAAGACTAAATTACCCTTAGGCTATGCACCCATGTAACAAATACATTTGAATGGCACTGCTTTCTATCGGTTAAAGTCGACTTAAATTTATCTCCTTAGACAGTTTTCCTCAAGATCTATAAAGATCTCTTGAACGACACAACTCATGGCTTTTGATAAGGATCCTTTAGTCATGTTGGCTCGACTACCTCCTATGACTAAGTAGATCGGGATCAAAACGAATTGGGACGATGCAACCATGGATCTTGATCGAGTTCTTGATCATTTCTCTCGCCATCCATTTTAACCTCAAGGTGATAAATTTTATAACTCAAACCTTAAGTCTACTGCTTCTGTATTGCTGAATATTCATTGTTTAATGACTAACCTTAATTGTATGTTCTCTCCTGTTATCGGGACAGAGACCCCAGATATAAAGTCCTCACAAAATGAGGACGGAATCTTTGGGCAATGTCTTTTCTATAATCCAATCTTCCTTCTTGAAATTTGACTTGAAATACCAAATATAAAGCTCTCTTAACAATGAGGAGAGTCTGGAGTGTTGCTAATGGGCAAAAATGTTTCTTATTATTTATGCTAGGAATGGCGGAAATGGCATGAAATTATGTGATGATTCCCCAAACTATTCTAGACTTCAAATTAGTTGTTTTTAAAGAGGGCCATAATGACAAATAACTCCATGGCACGACATTAATTTAAAGTAGATGTGAAAATATAAGAAATATTATATAAATGTAAATTATGTTATCACATTAAAGGACGGTTCTGACATTAGTTTGATGCGTAAATACAAGCTAATTCATCATTTATTGGCGCTCAGTAAGCCATCAACAATTGATAGCCATGGTTGGATAAATAGGAAGTAACAAACAGCCCCAAAATACACATGAAATTCCTTTTTCCTGTTTTCATTTTAATCTTAGATATTTAGGAAAAAAAATTGACATCTAATATAGACTTTATTTCATCACTATGCTGACTACTCAAATTTAAATGAAAGCACTTAATTTTTCAATTTCCGCCATCTCTATAGTTTTGTTGGACTGTCAACTACCACTTGTATCTTTTGGTCTCAGTCATGTGCATCTAGGAGTTGCCAGAAAATTTTAATGCTCTTCATCCAACATCGATAGATTTTTTTTACTTGAAGCGCTCCAAAAATTCTACTTTTTAATAAAATTTTAAACTCCCTAATTTCTTGTTTTGGTTTATGTAATATCCACATATAAGCAACGGCTTGGTGATTTTAGTTTATTTGATATTTTTGCCTGCTCTTAATCTAACAATTCACTGGGTTTTAACATAGATACCAGCTGAATCCGTCCAAGATTTGTTGCCTCCGCCCTCTCAAAGAGTTCTTGCCTTATCTGCCAAGTGTTCTGTGGATGAAAAGACGAACGAGTTCGATTCATCGCCCATCAATAAATCTGCTGAACTCCAAATTATCTCGTCCAACCGTATTATCACCGATGACGCAACTATGAAATGCAATCTCATGCATTTAGGTAGAAACATGGATGTCAATGGGTACAACACCATGCTTCTAACACCGAGAGAAAACACAAATGGTTGTTTCAATCGTGTTAAGCAAGAGCAAATTTCGCTTCATAGAGGAGATTTAGGACGTTCTGATTGCATGGGTAAAGGCCACAAAAGTGATTCTAAATATGATTTAAAAGATTATTTAAGTAATCCGTTTGCAGATGCTCGTCTTAGCATGAGCTTGGGTGGCGCTAACACGAGCAACATTTTGGAAGCATGTTCCAATGCTGGCACCCGGGAAATCGCGATGTCTCATCAAGCCATCATTGATGATGGAAGGGATCAAGGAAAGATTTTAACCACATTCCAGAACGTTCAAAGGGCTCGACATGTTTTGCCGAAGCTGCCAAAGCTCGCTTTAGATGCGTCGAAGGAGATGGTTCCGCAAATGCGTGTTGCACGGCCGCCTGCGGAAACAAGAGGAAGGAATCAGTTGCTTCCACGTTATTGGCCACGGATCACCGATCAAGAGTTGCAACAAATATCCGGAGAGTATCCTATTACCAACTTCATATCTTATGTTTATTTTTATTCTTAAAATATTTTTGGGGCATTTACATAGCACACAATTTATATGTATTTACATATCTAACACCTAAACATTCATATTTACATGCATACCACTTGATTCTTTAACACCACATAAAAATGCCACCTTTACTATCTTTTTAAATATTAAGCACTCGTTTTCATGCATAAGTTTATGACAACATGGTGTTATAAGTTTAAAAATCAAGCTTTGGGTGTTAGATATGTAAATACATAAGAATTGTGTGGGGGTATGTATGTAACTTTTACATGTTTTTAATCATGTGAAAATTAAGAGCATATATATTTTTTTGTATTGTTGAAGCTATGATATTCTTAACTATTTACTGTTTAAGTTCGAACTCCACTATTGTCCCGCTTTTTGAGAAGGTCCTAAGTGCGAGTGATGCTGGCCGGATTGGTCGTTTAGTTCTCCCCAAGGCTTGTGCAGAGGTAATTGGTTCAACTTAGAACTTTTTTATCTTCTAAAAATCCTTTATCCTTGGTTCTGTCTTGTGTTTAATGGGTTGGTAATTCCTGAAATTTCTATTAGTTGCTTAAGAATCATGTCACCTTGTCCCTCTACTGAATTATTGGGCTGCAACATTTCAATGTTTAAAAGGATGGAATTAAAATCTATGTTTTCATTCTACTTTAATCATTACTTGGCTGATAAAATCTTTTATTTGTTATGTATTCAGGTTGCATTTCTTTTTGGCCTTGTTTGGCCCCTTCAGCATAACTTTTGTTTTCCGTTTGAGGGCATTTACATACATATCACCTAATTCCTATATATTTACATATATAATACCTAAACGTTACTTAACATTACTTTTTTACATTAATGCCACCCAAATCTGTCATTTCAAATCAACAATACCACCCTTTTAACTTTTAAAAAGTAAAATTCACCTTTTTCATGCATAGGTAAGATGACGTGTAAAAACTGAAGTATAGGTTTTAGATTTATATACATTAGGAATTAAGCGGTATGTATGCGAATCTTCATTTTTGTTTTTGTTTTATTATTATTTTTATTTTTTAAAAATATATTTGGTTGGTATAATTTTTATACATTTTTATTTTTTATTTGTAAAAATAAATTAACTTATTTTTAAAAATACTCAAAATACTTAAAAGGTTATTTTGAGTGTTTTTAAAAGCGGCTGTCCCAATCAAACTTGCTTTGATTTAAATAAAAAAATTTAAAAATAAAATAAAAATAAAAAGACAGAAATGATCCCAAAAGGCCCTTTAATATGTGGGATTATTCAAATTTATGTTTCTTATATATGATTGTTTCATCCAGGCATATTTTCCTCCAATTTCGCAACCTGAAGGCATTCCGTTAAAGATTCAGGATGCTAAAGGAAAAGAGTGGCATTTCCAGTTTAGATTTTGGCCGAATAACAACAGCAGAATGTATGTTTTAGAGGGCGTAACTCCATGCATACAGTCATTGCAGTTGCAGGCTGGAGATACAGGTACTTTGTACAGTTCTTATCATGATGTATTTTACACATTGATTTCTTGCTGCCCTCTCCTGTGCAGTAACTTTCAGCCGGATAGATCCTGAAGGGAAACTTGTAATGGGCTTTCGAAAGGCAACTAATACCGCCCCTCTGCAGGTTAAGGCTTGAATTTTTTTATTTTTTTGGGGGGCCAGTTACATACATATCATGCAATTCTTATGCATTTACATATCTAATACCTAAACATTCATATTTACTCGTATACCACTCGAATCTTTAACATCATATAAAAAATATCCCATCACCATCTTTTTAAAAGTGATATACATTTTCATGCATAGGTTAATGACACCAATGTGAAATAAATATCAAAACTTTGGGTGATAGATACATAAATATATAAGAACTCTGTGGTATGTATTGGTATGTATGTAAATTTTCCTTATATGTATGGGAATGTTTTTTTACTTCGTACTTCATTCAAAATTTAAACAGGAAGCCCAAATTTCTGCTTTGGCAACTGGGGTCCTGGGAAGTGAAACCTTCTATTCCGGTCTTAATATGAACCTACTAGTAAGTGGTTACTCTGGACTTCTTCAGTCAATGAAGGGAACGCGAGCTCCCCATTTGAGCCATTTTTCTGAAAATTTCATTTGTGCTGACGAGGAGGTCTGTTGCGTAAAGACAGATAAGCATGGAAGTTGGGCGAATGAGGGATTATTGCAGTCTTCGCTGACTCCGGAGAAGCGAAGAAGTCGGAACATCGGTTCCAAAAGCAAGAGATTGCTTATGAACAACGACGATGCCATGGAGCTTAAGCTTTCGTGGGAGGAGGCGCAGGATTTGTTACGCCCTCCTCCCACGGTTCAACCGAGCATTGTCATAATTGAGGATCAGGAATTCGAGGAATATGAGGTACGGTGTGGCAGACCATGAATTTCTTATGCTTTATTCGTAAATTTTGATTGAAATGTCAAAATAGTCTTCTAACTATTAACTATTAACATCGGGCCATTTTAGTCCCATAATTTATAAAAATGCTAAATTAGTCCTCCCAGACTCCTAATGAAAGCTAAAATAGTCCTCACAGAGAGCTAATTCAACTCATATTAAAAGTTTCTTAGGCTAAATTAACACTTTATCTCCTGCAAAGAAGTAGGGGAACATTTTGACACTTTTGTCCTTAAATGAATCTTTGCTTGTTAATTGAATTGTCGTACATCAACAATGGTGCTCAATTTATCCTTTCACTGAACAATACCCCGATGTTATGATCCCTTATTTATGTAAATACTTTGGATACCTGAAAAAAACGCGTAAGAGTTTCAAGCAGTTAGGACTAGTGATTTTATCTAGCCTTAGAAAAAAATGTGGACTTAATGTTTCTAGTGTTGATTTTTTAAAGAATTTAGCTTTCTAGTTAGTATTTCTAGCCATAAAACATATTAAAGAATATCTGAGATTTGCCCACGAAACAAGTTATAGTTTCTTTTTAGTGACCAACTCTACTCTGTTACGCTTTTTAATTCTCATTATTTAGAAGTATTGCTTGAAAATACTGCTTTTATTTTAATCATCATCTGCATCATTAGCATTGGCTTTCTTATTTGGGGTGGCTTTATAAACTTTCTATACTATTCATTATCTAATATGTTTGTGTACTCGAGTTGTGGTTTTAATCCTTCTTGGCAACTACATTTGAGAGGGTTTTTTTTGGGGTGACGATTCTTGTGTATTTACGTCTCGCACGTTTAAGCTTTCATAGTCATACACAACACTCAAAATTTTAATATCTTAAAAATAGCACTATTGTCACTTTTTAAAAGTGAAATACACATTTTCTTGCATAGGATTAAAGCACCAAAATGCTTTGTATCTAAATATGAAATTTTAGGTGTGAGATATGTAAATACGTAAGAATTGTGTGCTACCTATGTAAATTTCCATTTTTTTTTAAGACATGAATCTTAGCAATTTAAAGGACGCTAGATTGATTTGACATTTTATCATATTTTTTCCTTAAAAAGTCTCAACTATTGCCATTTTGCTGCGGGTGGACACCATCTTCCATGTGTCTATAAATTGCTTGAGCTGAAGAAGAGATCAAATCTTGTTCTTGACATTTTAAGAATAGTTCCTTTAAAATATGATAAAAAATTGTAGGGCTCTTTACATGCATAGCACCCGAAACATCACTATTTACAAATCTAGCACCCTCTGGAGCGGAAGCTTACTATGGACATGGTACTGTAGCTGTACCATGGGCGTGGTATTGTAGTTGTACCGCGAATATGTTACTGTAGCTGCTATAATAACTTTGTGTCCCTCGTTCCTATTTGATTCGCTACTTTATCTGCCTCCTTCCACTTCTATCATAATTTCAAATTCCTTCCTTTCCCATCACCCTTCATTTATTTATTGCCTATACTTCTATTTGCCTAATCTATCTACTAACCCCTTCTTATTTATACATGTTGTTTGCTAAAGTTAGGACAGATTTTGATGAGTGTAAATTTCTGAATGTTGTCTTTGAGGTGTTCTTTATCGCCGGAGGTTGTATCCGACGGCGAGAAGGTGTTCTGATTGTAATTTGTCCTAGGTGGTGACCGTCTCCAAGGGTCCGGGTTGTGCTCCGGCAGTAACTCTACCCCGACAAGATACATATTCTTCCGCAGCCCCCCCTCCTCCCCGACCCCACTTCTAGCAGTCGCAAACTATCTTCTCCCGCCGGGCGCCCCAATCCCCTTCCTTGCTGCTATTTGCCGCTTTCAGCAGCTATCCTGCGGTTGCCATCCCTTCGCGTACCTTCCCTGTTGCTTTCCATTCTGCTTGGTGCTGTCCCGACTGCTGGCGACATCTTCCAGGTTGCTGTCTACGTTTCAGGGGCTGTCCAGATCCCCGCCGGCCTCTTCCAGGTCGCTGTCCACCGTCCCCTGCCCTATCCCAACAGGCTGCCTTCCTCCAGCTCCCTTCTGGCAGGCCGCTGTCCATCTCCAACACCTCCCAGCATGCTGCTCTGCTGCAGCCAACTTCCCTACCCGCTGCCGTAACCCTAATTGGAGTCTATATGTTGTATCTTTATGATTGTGTTGCTATTTTAGGCATCGTTTGTTTTGGTTAGGAAAGTCTTTATTTGTAATCTTTGGAATTAAACAATATTATTATTATTTTCGTTGTGATTTGAGCTATCCTCTGGTATCACCCCCTCTCATTCGTTTTTCAAATTCTCACTCGAATATGAAAATTCATGATAAAACCCCAACCCATATTCTTCATTTTTCTCAATGATTCGGTCATAGCACATGTAAATACATCTGTTCGATTGTTCAAAAATACCTTAGTGCTAGTTTTTAGGAATAACAACGTTTCTGGTGCTATGGATGTGATTATCCCAAATATGTATCATAGGGTTCATGAAGTACGTGCAATGAAGGCTGCTCATGTTTTTTGCTTTTACTTATATCGGTCATTCTCACATCTAATCCATATTTCTACTCTGCAGGAACCTCCCGTTCTTGGAAAGAGAACTTTTTTTACAGCTCGGGCGTCATCGGGGTGAGGAAAGGAAATCTTTATCTGGGCTAAAATTTAGAAACCGCAAAAATGATTCACATGCATGAACATTTTTTTGTATTTCTAAACTCTTAATTTGGCCCTCCGTCTAGTGCTATGTTCATGCATATTTTATGTTTTTTGGTTGAGTATAGTTTGTATTTTTTATAGTATTATTCTTTTTGATTATGGCATGACATAAATAACTTATAGAAATAAAGTTGGAAGATTTACAGAGATACCATTCTTTTCATTTGTATTTACATATCTAACACTTACACTTAAATTTTTAGGTACATACCATCTTAACTATGCTTGAAAGGGTGTATTTTTCTTTTTTAAAAATAAAATGGTGCTAGTATGATGTGATATGAAAGATTTGGGTGGTATAATTGTAAAAAAAGAACAAAATTCTTATGTATTTACATATCTAACACCTAAACATTTACATGCATACCACTCAAAATCTTTAACATAACATGAAAAATACGACCCTCGCTATTTTTTTAAAAGTGAAATAACCTTCTCAAGCATAATTTAACCACACCAAGGTGATGTAAATTTCTCAAAATGTAATTTAGCGACCCCAAGGTGTGTGGCATGCATGTAAATTTCCTCTTTTTTTTTTTCTCAAAATGTTTCTATAGTATTGTTAGAATCAATTTCAGTCATACGAAGTGGATTGAACGACTGTAACATGGATAATTACTCCATTCAATTATCATTATAATTTTAGGGGACCTGAACCCAACAAATTCTTAATGGATTAATGTTTTACTATCTGACATTATTGATTTAGGGGACAAGATCAATGGATCCAATGTGATGATTGCTTCAAATGGAGAAGGATTCCTGTGGATTTCCTGCCTCCTTCAAAATGGACATGTGTTGAGAATACATGGGATTCAAAAAGGTGCGTCTTAAGCTTTTTTTTTTTTTTAAATATAATTTTCCTTTGTGGGAAGGATGATAGAGCTTTAGGTAGATTTAAACATGAGGGAAATTTACATACCTAACACAATTTTTATGTATTTACATATCTCACACCTAAACTTTCATATTTACATAAGCACTTTGGTGCTTTGAACATATGCATGAGAAGTTGTATTTAACTTTTAAAAAAGTGTTAATAGTTGTTGGATCCTAATTTGTCCTTTGTGAATCACTCTCCGAGAGTTAGAGCCGAGTGAATGAAAGAAAGAGAGAGAGAGAGTAGAATAAGTATGTAATTTTCCTAGGGAGAATCGAGGAGAGATTCCTTTATTCGTCTTTTTTGCTCCGTAATTATAGAAGTGTATTTTATAAAATTACAGAAAGGAGAGAACGGTTATGGATCTCATGCATGCTCGGCCTTGAATCGTCGGTTGATTGTTTACCTTGAAAGGATGCTTTTCCACTTTGGTCATTCGTTCTTTTTGAGATTCGTGCCGATATTTTTGGTGTATACATATTAGTTCTCCGATTTTTTTTGCTCATTGATAGCAACAACTACAATAAGGACAGGAAAATTATTGAACAATCATTAGCAATAAATTTGTGAATTGATTGAACACATGATTTTCTTTAGGATTCTGTGTCACGTGTGCTCTATAAATAGACTCGAACCAAGTCTTGATCATTTGTCGTCAGTTTCTCTTTTTACAACTGAGGTGTGTTATGACTGATAAATCGAATCAGATCATCATGGATTTTGAGAGGCTTGTTTTTTTCTTATACTCAAAGTTTGTTAGTGTCATAAAAAAAACCTGCACTTCATTACACATTAATGAAATGAAACTTTTTGCCTTTTGTGATTACTTTTGTTATTTAGTCTTATAAAATTTCTTGTTTTATTTGAGAATTTGACCCTTAGAGGTGTTTACTCTCGGGCTGACCCATGGATTCTTGGACGCAGACCCGTCTTCAATGTTTCAAGCGTTAAAATTTGTTTCTTCCGGTCGCTCGTGACGCATGGTCCGATCGAACGGCATTGGTTCTGACCGGTCTTGCCTCTTGGTGTGGATCTTATTGCTAACTGAGAGTGGCCGCCAAGATTTTCGGAGAGGCCTTCATTGTCCTTTTTGCGCATCTTGTTGCTAGAAGACAGAGGGCTACCCCTATAGACAACCCTTGTTTGAACTTTGCATCGTTCGTGACCGAGGGATGTTCCGCTTTTCGCTTGGTTCGTAAGCCGGAGCCAATCGACCTTGTATTACAGGCGATTGGCTTGTCGGTTAAGGCCCTTATAACCAATGGGCTTTGGGCCTTTCGTGTGGTCACTTAGACCTCCCGGGAACGTACCCCGGCTTTGCCCAATCGTGTGGGTCTTTAGGATTTCCTGCATCTTCTTTTGTAGCCTTCACCAATAGTGTGGGTCTTTAGGATTTCCCGCAGCTTCTTTTATAGCCTTCCGGGGACCTGCCCCAGGCTTTATCCCTTCACCGCCTGCCAGGTACGCATCTTGTCGTCACCTGTGGGGAGTGCATCCACTTAGGACTTTCAAGGGATCCTAGATCTTTGCGGAAAACACTGACTCCCTGACCCACAGGTCTTATGAGGGCGTTTTTGCCAAGGGATGAATATTTTTGGACCGCCTTGCGATACAGTCGGCTGGCCACCTTTCGGGCCAACCCATGTTCCCCGATATTGGACAAGGGTTTGAAAACATCCCTGGTCAGGCTCAGTTCCCTGTGCGTCAGGAATGGTCCTACGAAGTTAATGCTTCTTTGGATAAGAGATGCTTTAAAGACTATTTGGTTGTCACATCTTTTTTCTTTTTTCAAAAAATCAATTGTGGGGATGTCTTATCAATGTCCGGAGATGTCCTCATTACGCGGACCCTCCTTGAGCGTTTCAGTAAACGAGTCCCATTTATTATTGCTGATTCATCCTGCTATTTAAAGGGGGAAGAAATTCTCCATGTCCTTACCTCCCCATTATGGGTGATGGCTTTGTGAAAATTTGGTGAGATTAGCCTACTTGCGTTGGTCATGAACGGGGGCAATCTTTCTTCCACGAGTGCATATGGATCTCTGAGGCCCACGCTTCTTTAGTTTCTTTTTTCTTCGAGTCGTGTGTCGAAGGGACAAATTTTCTCCAAGCCGGGTGTCGAACGTCATTGGAACTAAGGTGGACACTGGGTAGGAGATCCTTCCCGCAGCGACTGTGGTGGGCTTTGGGGAATGGTGGAGGTGAGGCCGCATTCCCGGGAGGTCAATACATTCGTTCGACCGTTGCTATCGGATATTCAGAGGTTTGTAGGTCCCTGAACTTGAGTGGTCTAGGGGTAGGACATGACACCTTCAACAACAACGGTTTCTCCATTCTCTGTCTCCTACTGGTCTTCATTGCGGGAGAAGTTCAGAAGAGAGCGGGAGACGGGCGGGTGAGGGCCCCCCAACCTTTTTTGCTTCAGTTTCAATTTGCTTTTATTTCGTATTAGAGAAGCCCATGGATGCAAAAGAGGCTGAAATGAGATCGAGTGACTAGAAAGTGGAATGAAGTCGTAATTTTTGGAGAGGACCGACTGATTTCCCGCGAGATTTTTGGTCGTGGGTCGCCCTTCGCGGCGGATGTGATGGTTCTTGGGTGAAGCATGGGTCCAACATATTCCTAGGGAGGATCACGTTTGCTCGACGATGCATTGCCTAGAGAGATGAACTTGTAGTATTCTTCCCTCGTTGGCCGTCACTGCTGAGCTTTCTTCTCGTCCTCCTGATGGTGGTTGCAAGGTTTTTTTTCCTCGGATAGTAATGTTTAAAAGAGTTGAGCTCCTGGCGACCCGTGTAGGGACTTGGCTTTTTCGAAGTTATCATCTCAGTCAAAAGATGTAAAAGGGCATACCTAATATGTTTGTCGATTGGATGTGTTCTGTATCTCTCAATTAGAATGAATAAAATTTCCCCCTTTTTTATCTTCTGAACTACTTCGCTTACCTCATTTTTTTGTGGCTCCTCATTTGTGTTGTGGTTATTTTGTTAGTGGCAAGTCGGCAATGCCTATTTCATCACTCTTATCCAAAGTTTGATGGGTAAGGATAGTCGTTCGGCGAGATTTAGCCGGGCAAAATTCCCCTAGTCGTGGGACCACTCTGCACCTGATTCTTTTACTGGCGTTGCATTTAGGGATGTAAACGAGCCGAACACGAGCGATCCATGCTCAGCTCGTGTTCGACTCGTTTATATTTCGAGCTCAAAAAGTGTGTTTGTGTTCGGCTCGTT